ATGAAGCGAAGAAAGAGTTGACCTAATCTATTCCATGAAGGGGAGAAAGTGTTGACCTAATCTATTCCATGAAGCGAAGAAAGAGTTGACCTAATCTATTCCATGAAGGGGAGAAAGAGTTGACCTAATCTATTCCATGAAGCGAAGAAAGAGTTGACCTAATCTATTCCATGAAGGGGAGAAAGAGCTGGCCTAATTTATTCCATGAAGGGGAGAAAGAGTTGACCTAATCTATTCCATGAAGGGGAGAAAGAGTTGACCTAATCTATACCATGAAGCGAAGAAAGAGTTGACCTAATCTATTCCATGAAGCGGAGAAAGAGTTGACCTAATCTATTTCATGAAGCGAAGGCTCTTTCTCCCCTTCATGGAATAGATTAGGCCAGCTCTATCTCCCCTTCATGGAATAGATTAGGTCAACTCTTTTTGACCTAATCTATTCCATGAAGTGGAGAAAGAGTTGACCTAATCTATTCCATGAAGGGGAGAAAGAGTTGACCTAATTTATTCCATGAAGCGGAGAAAGAGTTGACCTAATATTTTCCATGAAGGGGGAGAAAGAGTTAACCTAATCTATTCCATGAAGCGGGGAAAGAGTTGACCTAATCTATTCCATGATTCGCTATTTCTGTTGCAGCAGACTAGCTTCGCTAAATTCACAGTTCCTTAGTGCTCCTTGATTTAAGATTTAATTTGGTCAGTTGGTTTTTTCGGTAAGACAGTTTATCCCTTATGGAAATGGGCTAGATGTGGCCTAGTGGGGTTAGCGTGACACGCTAAAAATCGAAGGGTCTGAGATTCGAAAGGTGATAACGTTGAATATTGTCTGTAATAAAAATGGCAGTCATCCCTATCATCCTATTCCACGTGTTCTTTTAACTTTCGCCGATTCATTGATTTTAAAAATCGAACTTGATATTTTGTTTTCATTTTCGAATGATGGAATGTATCTACTTTTTATTCTATCTTACCTAAGAAATAACAAAAATGCTTACACACACATGAAGTGTATAAATAATTTCATTTTAGCATTGTATAATATCACGTTTAGAGCAGAATCTGTACCTCAGGTTTTGGTTTATTTTCCACAGAATGATTTCAAAATGTGCTCATTTTTCTTTCTTTGTCAAATATACCAAAATGCATCATTAAGAGCCCTATTGAATTTAACTGCAGTTTTACAAGAAAAGAGATATACGAGACGGCGAGACAAATTTTGCTTGCACATCTCCTGTAAAAATGTTTTTTTTTCATGATTTGTTAGTTATATCACGGGTTTAAAGTTAAACAACTCAACGGTTTGTTGACTTCCGGTTAAGTCTGAGACAATGTTTCATAGAACTTTAGACGAAGTGAGATAATAGGTTTGAGAAATGGACTGCAACTGCCTGTTTAATGAATAGGGGACGACGTTTCAGTTTTTATACCGAGGCCTTATAACGCTAAAAATTGGATTTCGATACCCTCGCTGGGCAGACCACAAATACCCCATTACGTAGCTTTGCTCTTGACGACAAACAAACAATGGTTTGATGTAAGCGTGGAAATTAAATTGATTGAATAAGGTTCTCTGTAGAAATGTTTTCGTAGATTAATATTTTTGATATTCTATCACTTTGTAGCTACAGGTAAATTAGAAATTATCATTATCATGCATTTATCCAGTGATTAATCCAGATTAAGAGTTTTTCTATATTCTATCACTTTGTAGCTACAGGTAAATTAGAAATTATCATTATCATGCATTTATCCAGTGATTAATCCAGATTAAGAGTTTTTCTGTTCTTTACCGCTATTGTTTGTCACACGTGTGGGGCCATTTATTTAAGTGTATTGTTTGTTTGTTTGGAATTAAGCATAAAGCTACACAATGGGCTATCTGTGTTCTGCCCACCACGGGTATCGAAATCCGGTTTCTAGCGTTGTAAGTCTGCAGACATACCGCTGTGTATTCAAGTGTAACCACTTAATCATAAAACACTCTGTCTTAAATTGTTTTATTTAATTACGTATTTTACATAGCATTAACACCAATCTAATAGTTACTTATTACATTCATGTTTGTAGTTGTTAACACACTAGCACCCAATTAGAGGTTAATATATAGGTCAGATGTTAATATTTCAATTTTTTTTTTTTTTTCAGTTGTGTGGAAATATATATATATATATATATATTCTATTTTTGTAACCTGCAGGGATGTAAGGGTACTGAAAGGTCAGCAGGCGTCATTAGTTTGGACTACTACGATCTCTGTTTCGAGGGTAGCACCAAGGATAACAAACGAGCTCCAAATGTCTTCATTATTTCTTCTTCCGTCCGGGGATTCTTTGATGTAAGTTTAATTAAAATTGATGGAGTAACAAGATGTTTGTTACAGTGATGTTACATTTAAGAATACAGGTGTAAATCTTTTTCGTTTTAAAAGTTGTTACTGTTGTTATTAAGCACAAAGCTACACACAAAGGGCTACATGTGCTCTGCCCAATACAGGTATCGAAACCCGGTTTCTAGCGGTATAAGTTCGTAGACATGCCGTTGTGCCACTGGGGGACCGTCTTAAAATATATTTTGTTTTTTCCATGCGCTAACAGTTATGATTTTTCGTGTATGTAATTCTAATAATTCGAGGAATTGTATCTCATATTGTCATTCAAATCAGTTTGTTTTTTAAAAGGTTTAGGTTTCGGTTCAGTAATGTCAGAGATATTATCAAGCACGATGTTATTTATTATGGAAATTATTTCAGTTTACTTTTAATCTATTCTGAAATGCTACCCAACGTCTCTTTTAATTCTCCTACAATTATCCATGTTGATATTTCTACGAATAATAAAAAAATTAAGTAGAAATTAGTCAAAACCCGGTAAAAAATACGTTATATTAAATACACTTTGAAAATAAGTGCTATAGGATATCTTGTTTCCTTATCTTCTTCTAGCGTGATTGATGATTTAATATTTCCATAAAACATCGCTGTCACAGCTTTAACTCTACCTCCAACCACTTGCAGAACACAAGATAATTCACCCCCCCCCCCACTTCCTTGGAAGGTTTTTATTTTTTAAAAAAATTGAGAATAGCTTTTATATG